TGAGAATGTCTCCGATCTGGAAGATCGTCTTGCTGTCATGAACGCCCAGGAACCGGACAACGTGTGGGCCCGTGCCTGCCGTGGTAAGCTGCTGGCGCAGTCTGGTGACTGGCTGGCGGCGCTAGGGCAGCTTGGGCCGGCCGCGCTGGGTGCCGCCGGAGAGACGGCTGCCGTGCTGGCGCTCCGCGGCGGTATCGAGCTGCGCGTGCACGGCTACCCGGCAGCCGAGCGCACTCTGTGGGAGGCGCTGCGCCGCTCGTCGGTGGCTGCAAGCGGCCGTCTCCGGCTGCAGCTGGCGGAGGCGCTGGTGCGACAGGGCGCCGACCGCGCCGCCGAGGCCGAGGCACTGCTCGCAGAGGCCGCCGGCTCGCCGGAGAGAGACGCGCTGCTGGCCGAGGCCCGGCTGCGACGGGGAGCTCTGACCGAGGTGGAGGCGGTCACCGCGCCGCTGGAGGTGCGCGCGGCGTGGCTGGTGGCCGAGCGACGGGCGGATGAGGCGGTGGCACTGCTGGACGGCACAGGTGACCACTCGACGCGCAGACTCCGGCAGTTGGCTGCGGCGCTCTGGGCCGCTGGACGGCGCGAGGAGAGCGCTGCGCGTTTCCTGGAGGCAGCCAAACTGGACCCGAACCACCCAGAGCCGTTTTACTACCTGGGCCAGTACTACCAGGAGCGCTCTGACCAGACTCGCGCGCTGCGCTGCTACCAGAAGGCGTGCCGCCTGAACCCTGGCGAGCCGCGCTGCAGCGCTGCGCTCAGCGACCTGTACCGGGCGCGCGGCGAGCACGAGCAGAACGTGCGCCTGCTGATGGCCGTCACCGAGAGCCGTCCCGACGCGTCCGTCAGCCGCTGGGCCTGGTTCCGGCTGGGCCTGCACCACCTGCAGGCGGGCGAGCCGCAGCGCGCCGTCGTCTGCCTGCAGACGGCCGTCAAGGCGGCGCCCGACGACGCCGTGGCGCTCGAGTGCCTGGGCGACGCGTACCGGCTGCGCGGCGCGTACACCTCGGCGGTGCAGGCGTACAGCCGGTCGGCGGCGCTCAGCGAGCAGCCCGTGTACGCGCAGCTGCAGATGGCCGACATCCGGCAGCTGCTCGGACAACTGGACGAGGCAGAGGCCGGCTACCAGCAGACGCTCGCCGCTCGGCCCGGCTTCGTGCCCGCTCTGAAGGGGCTCGGCGAGACGCACCTGCGGCGCGCGCAGCAGCTGGTGTCCCGCCAGCTGCACGGGCTCGCCCGGGACAGCTGCCAGCTGGCAGCCGACGCGCTCACCGCCGCCGTGCTCGACCAGAGCCGACTCGGTTGTCTGTGGAAGCAGCTCGGCGACGTGCTATGCATGACGGCGGGCCTGCCGCCGCGCTACCGGCGCCTGCAGGTGGCCGCTCAGCTGCTGCCGTGTCCGCCGGCTGACGGCGGAGCGTGCGGCCCGCTCGCTGGCCCGCTGCTGGTCGACGTGGCCACCCGCTGCTACTCACAGGCAGTGGCCATCGAGAATCTGGGCGGTCTGTGGCACGACCTGGCGCTCAGCTACCGGCTCCGGGCGGGCCTGTATGCCGCCGGCGAGTCGGAGCAGGCGGCGGTGGCGCTGCGCCGCGCGCTCCAGTGTGCTCACAAGGCGACTGGCCTGTTGCCCGGCGATGCCGCCATCTGGAACACACTCGGAGTGATTGCGTGCGAGAGGCCGGTGGAGGACCGCCGGCTGGCGCAGCACGCCTTCATCAAGTCGCTGCGCTTGCGGGAGACGGCCATGGCCTGGACCAACCTGGCCTGTCTGTACATGGTAAACGGTCAGCTGAAGCTGGCCAACGAGGCGCTCACCAAAGCGCAGAGCGTCGAGCCGGCGTACGGCGCCGCCTGGACGGGCCAGGCGCTGATCGCCGAGCAGCTGTCGCCTGAGCAGGCCACCGACCTGTTCCGACACGCCGTGCACCTGCAGCCGCTGGCGCCGGCCGCGCTCGGCTACGGCCGCTGGGTGTGCCGCGCCCTGCGCGACCCCTCCGTCTGGCACACGGCCCAGTACCGGTTCAACATCGAGCGCATGCAGGCGGTCACTGTGGCCGGCGAGGCGCTCGAGCTGTACACGACCGGCGCGCCGGACGACGCGGCCGGCTGGAACATGCTCGGTCTGCTGGCGGAGCGGCAGGGCCGGCACGGCGCCGCCCTGCACGCCTACCAGCGCGCCGCCGAGCTGCTGGCGGGTGCGGACGAGCCCGACTGGGCGGCCGTGGACGCGGCGCGCACCAACAGCGCGCGCCTGCTGACCGCCGCCGGCCGCTACGACGAGGCGGTGGCCGAGTACCGCCGGCTGCGCGAGGCCAGCTTCCACTCGCAGTGCGGCCTGGCGCTGGCGCTGCAGCGCGCCGGACACGATGAGGAAGCGTACTCGGCCTACGAGGCGGCGCTGCACTGGCTCTCGCCCGACGACGCCAACAAGTCACACACGCTGGTGGCCGTGGCGCAGCTGCTGTACCGCTTCGACCGGGTCAGCGAGGCGCGCACCGAGCTGCTCAAGAGCTTCCAGCTGGAGCCGGCCTCGGAGCAGGGCCTGCTGGCGCTGACGGCTCTGGCGCTGCGCCAGGGCGACTCGGCGCTGGCGCTGGCCTGCGAGAGCGAGCTGGCGCAGCGGCGCACCCAGCCGGAGCTGGCCGCTGAGCGGGCGCTGCTAGAGGCGTGCCTGCGGCTGGCGCGCGACGACTCGACCGGCGCCGTGCGCGCCGTCCAGGCGGCGGTGCACCGCCACCCGCAGCAGGGCGGCCTGTGGCGCCTGCTAGCGGCGGCGCTGCTGCAGCTGCGGCCGGCGGCCGGCGCTGCCGTCACGGCCGCCACCGCTGCCCGGCGGGTGGCCGCCGCTGGCGCAGAGAGGGACCAGGTGAGTTAGTCAGTCCCGGAGAGAGGGACGCGCGGACAGGTGATAGTCACTAAGTCAGTCGGTATCAGTCTGGTTGGAATTGTGTGCTACTGCCGAATCTTGTTTTCGGTGATGTCATTGTCTGGTCATTAACATCGGATAAAACGAGAGTGGTGTTTCTGACGTGCTTGCCACCAGCGTCTGTGGTGTCGTGTCTTGTGTCACCGGCCCCTGTGCCTCTCCGTCAGATGGTCGGGTGTTTCCCGGGCCCCTAACCTGTCAGGCGGTGTAATTTCTTACTGACCCCCCACCCCCACCTCGTCAGTCGGTGTGCTGTGTCACTGATCCCCCCCCCCCGTCAGATGGTGTGCTCCCCCCCCCACGTCAGATGGTGTGCTGTGCCACTGACCCGCCCCCCCCCCCCCATCAGCTGGTGTGCTGTGTCACTGACCCCCCCCCCCCCGTCAGATGGTGTGCTGTGTCACTGACCCCCCCCCCCGTCAGATGGTGTGCTGTGTCACTGATCCGCCCCCCCCCCATCAGCTGGTGTGCTGTGTCACTGACCCCCCCCCCCCCCCACCGTCAGATGGTGTGCCACTGACCCGCCCCCCCCCCCCGCCAGTCGGTGTGCTGTGTCACTGACCCCCCCCCCCCCGTCAGATGGTGTGCTGTGTCACTGATCCGCCCCTCTCCGTCAGGCGGTGTCGGACCTGGTGTGTCAGGCGCAGCTGCAGGCCGGGGACGTGTCGGGAGCGCTGCGCTCCGCCCAGCGCGCCGTGCTATGGCGGCCCGACTCGCCGTCCGCCTGGTGCGACCTGGTGGCCGCGCGGCTGGCCGGCCTGCAGTCTGCGCCGGCTGACGGGCGCGGCGCGGCGCTCTGCTGGCTGCGCGCCGCCGTCAGCCGACTGCGGCGCGGCGACCGGCTGGCCCGGCCGCTGCACGGCTGGCTCAGCACGGTCGACAGGCGCGTGGAGATGCTGCTCGCCCAGGGCTAGGGAGGCGGGTGGCGGTCCGGCCGAGTGGTGTGCGACCACAGGACAGAGACAGTGGCCGCCGGGTGGCGGTCCGGCCGAGCGGTGTGCGACCACAGGACAGTGACAGTGGCCGCCGGGTGGCGGTCCGGCCGAGCGGTGTGCGACCACAGGACAGTGACAGTGGCCGCCGGGTGGCGGTCCGGCCGAGCGGTGTGCGACCACAGGACAGTGACAGTGGCCGCCGGGTGGCGGTCCGGCCGAGCGGTGTGCGACCACAGGACAGGGACAGTGGCCGCCGGGTGGCGGTCCGGCCGAGCGGTGTGCGACCACAGGACAGGGACAGTGGCCGCCGGGTGGCGGTCCGGCCGAGTGGTGTGCGACCACAGGACAGAGACAGTGGCCGCCGGGTGGCGAGCGTGATACGGCACCGTAGAGTGTTCGCATGAACTGTTCGTTGTGCCCGTGATATGAAGGAGGAAGGGGGTTATCCGCTATCATGGCTATGGACCGATTCGTTTAAGTGTTACGATTGATAAGTTAATGGAAATTATCAACTAAACGTGAAGCCTCGGTTCTCGACCAGCAAAATATTACCTGTTGTTCAGAGGTTACTGGTTTTAATCCTACCTATCATCTCATTCTTACTATGCGGTATGGTCGAGTTACGTGCAAAGCTTGGTGTGTGATTCTCCGACATTGTAACTGCGTTATTATTGCGCAAGCTGCTTATCAACTTGTTAATCCAGCCTATATTGTCCCGCTTTCATGGCTTTGTTCCACTGCCGGTGGTGGCACTCAGGACGTGTGAGGTCTGTCTGTCTGTCTGCATGTTTGTCTGTAACGTCCTACCGGGCGATGTCTTAGTAGCGTTACGAATGGCAGGGGAACGGGCTGCTGTGCTGGTGCTGTGATTTGTGATCGGGATCGAATACACCCGGTATTTGGCACTTGGCTCGCGTTGTTGATGGAAGGCAAAGAATCCCTCCCCTCACAAATATCGGCACCTCACTGACCTTATAGTTTACTAGGACTTAAGGGCGCGTCGAATGCAGTGGTTATTTTGCGCCCACTGACCTTACATAACCTGTCGAGCAAGCGGTCTCTGTAGTATGCCATGCAATACAGGGGCAACCTCCTCCGTAGCTTCCATACCGCCCGCTGTCACCTTGGTAAACTTGGTGGACAGTTAATATACGTATATTATATATGTATAATCCATTCATCATCCACAGATCATCCATCACAAGCCGCCGTCGTGTCCGTCCACGCGGCTGGAATGCGCCGGCGGGCGGTCACTGACCCGCCCCCGCCGGCAGCCGCGACCCTCGGGCCCCGGCTAAAGCGCTACTAGCTGCACAGGGAGGTGTCAGTAGTTAAAGCATGATCCCAGATCGGTCAGTCGGCAAACTATACCGGTAATACCTACAGCTCGGCGACCCAGCTGCGGTGACTCGCGCCGCAAATAAATAAACTCATCAGAAAACTTAACAAGCCCGATCCGCCGCCACGATAGCACCATCTCAGTCGGTCCGCCGCCGGCCTCCGCAGGTCCAGCCTAGAAAAATACGGCGCCGCGCGGCGCTCGCCCTGCATCACAACTGCGCCGCCCCGTGACTGGCGGCCGCCCGCGCCTCCCCGCCGCCACGGCACGGCCGGGAAGGCGCTCACACAGTTGGCACTTCACGCACACACCCAGACAATTTTCCACCAAACGGATTGGTAACGCACTGAAGATACGATTAATGGAAGTCCTAAAATGCAACATAACGTCTATGACGTTCTCCATTGAATACAAACAATATCAAAGTTTTCAGACCGTAAAAACGCATCCCCGATCTGTGTGCCAGCTGCGGCGGCCGCCCCTCTCCGTTCCTGCTCGGCTCCCGGGCAGTGGGCCGGGCGCTCAGCGGCTGGGCGTGCCCAGGCTGGCCCGGTCGTACTCGTCCTCGGCGTTGTTGGACTTCATCTCCTGCAGCGTGTGCGCCAGCCGCGTCCACTCGTCCTGGCGCGGCTGGGCCAGCTGCTCGCCTACGTCGTACACCCAGACGCGGCCGCGGTCGTCGCCGGCCGTGATATGCAGTCCAGACGGCGTCCACGAGACCCGGTTGAGCGCCGGACCGCCCTCGACCTGCGCGCTGGCCGCCGGCACCTCCGTCTCCGAGTTGATGTTCCACACGTCCAGTCGGCCGGTGCCGTCGACGGCGGCGAACAGCGCCGGGTGCAGCGGCGACCAGGCCACGTCGTACACGTAGTCCGAGTTGTCCTCGAACGAGTACAGCGGCTTCGGGTCCTGCCGGGACGCCGAGTGTGGGAGGTCAGGGGGCCGCGGGGATCGGGATGGCATGGCTGGTTGTCAGTTGGGTTAATCAGCCTAAGGTAAGCACCAAAGTTGTGCCAAATGGTTATTGGATTAACAAGTGAAGAATGGAAGTAGCTCGGCTTCATGACGCTAGGTCAAATAAATATCCACACATCCTATACCATTCACAAAAGCAACCCCTTAGAGTCGTGCCCGCGCCTCTGTCCAGCTCAGGTTGCGCGGCGTTGTACCTTGGCATTCCACAGTTTGACGGTCCAGTCGATGGACGAGCTGATGAAGAGGTGTGAGAAGTCGAGCGGCCCGGGCGCCGTGTGCGCGCTGACGCCCGTCACCGGCCCCCAGTGGCCCTCGTACACCTCCTGGATGCCCGAGCGACTGCCGTGCCGGCACGCTGAAACACACGGCCCGCGTCAGCCGCTGGAGACGCCCGCACGGCGGTAACGATAGTGAACTGTGAGCATGACTTCAGAAAGCAGGAGCGATGGGTCAACTAAAATAAAATCCGATTTCAGGTGATGGCGCCGAGCTCACCCGTGTAGAGGTTGCCCTCCTCGCTACCCAGGATGAAGTTGTTGACCTCGGCTTGCGGAAAGGCCAGGGCCGTCACGGCCACCGCCTTGCTCTGCTTGAACTGCAGTTCCATCGTCTCCTGTGAGCGCGGCACAAAGTTAGGCGCCGGTACGGGAGATGCTGCGTCATACATAATGGGGCACAAAAGCACGTCCTCGTTAGTGAGAAGAATTTAATCAATTATCAGCATCAAACGCAATATTAATATGCAATTAAACTCCTCGCCAAAACTCATCCCACAAAAGACTGATCTGTTTGATAAAGACGAATCTCTGAGACAGCCAGCATACAAAGACGCCTCACCTGCGGTTGTGAGAGCATGTCCAGACTCCAGGAGCACATCTTGCCGTCAGTGGAGACCGAGATGAGATTGTGTGCGTTCTGTGTGCCCACGACACGCATACAGTATACTGGGTGCTGGAAACAAACAGTAAACCTACCTCAGAGGGTGAACATGAGCAATGTTCGTAACAGTTAGCAGAAACACGCACATCTACATAACAGGACCAAACAGTGGTTACCGACAGGAAAATTGATCTCCATTCTAAACTTCTCTTGACTGGCGTCTGGCAACCAGCGTAACTTTTGGTAAAATCTATCAGCTACCACTGTGAGACCAAAGATCGCCACCCCGCGCTCCGCCATCCCTCCGGTCCGCCCTGCCACCGCCGTCGGTGACCGGTACTAACCGTGTGTGCGGCGGCCGAGAGCGGCGAGCGCTGCACCGGTGTGCGCTTCTGCGTCCGGTTGTCCCAGAGCACCACCTGGCCCGAGTACGTGCCGCCCACGATCAGGTTCGGGTGGAAGCGCGCGAACGTGGCGCACATCACCGGCGACTGGCAGTGGAAGATGTACTCGGGCGTGGTCTTTTTGAACTTGGTGTTCCACACCAGGCACACGCCGTCCGGGTCGTGCGGCGCCTCCTCGTTGTTGTTGTAGCTGAGTGGGGAGGACGGGCCGGCGGTGAATTCGAAGGATATGAAAGGTTTACTCGATTATAATTCTCGACACATTTCAAAGTGGGAGCTCAGAAACAACAACACATAAGTAACACCGAGCAGCGCATGACGGTTAGTCAGAGTGCAAAATTAATTGTTTATATCGATGAGATGTTCTGAGCCGCTATACACAATGGTTGACATGAAACATTCGCATATTCAAAGCGTGGTCGACCAGTGTCATCGACTGTCGACCCTCTCTGCCAGCTGGCAGCACCACAGCGGTGGATGATGCCTGAATACGACGTCCCACAGAGGCCGGCCGGTCGGACCGGATGACCCACCTGGCGACCAGCAGCTCGGGGAACTGCGGCGACCAGTCCATCGACGTCACGGTCCGGTTCTTGGACCACCGCTCGTCGCAAAACACCCGGTTCAGGCTCAGACGCATGCCAGACTTCTCATCCCTGCAAGAAGATGACAACGGTTCAGACGGCAAGACAGACTAGACATCTGAACACTCGGGGAAATATTGACATCCGACAGACAAAGATATACTCAGCGTAACAGGTGCTCTGTCCCGAGTTTATCTTACGGATCGCAGCATCAAGACATCATCAAACGGCACTCACAGCGCCTCGTCGTCGTCGTAGTTTCGGCTGTAGTCGGCGAAGATGTTCCACTCCTCGCACAGGGCGCGCTCCACCACGCACGCTTGTCGGGTGAAGAACTCGATGAACTCGGGCGACATCATGAGCAGCTGCTTCTCCTCCTCGCTCAGTTCTCGCGCTGGAACGGCCGCACCGGCTCGTCACGCTAGGAGAGACCGACGTGCACGACCGCCCAGCCTCACGGCCATTCCCACATCAACAGTTCAACCGCTACCAATGCATGGGATGATCACCGAGGAGAAAGCTAACCATAATAACGCTGCATTCTACAGCGGTTCAAACGTTGCGATATATCTGAATGGCATAAGCTTTCTGTTCGAATACAGGTGTTTTAACTCAGATCGCTGCTATTGCGCTTGCACTGTCTACCTTTCATTCATTTTACACAAATCTCAGCTCGCACTGCACTGCATTATTACGCTACCAGTAAAACGCCTTTTGGGCGAAGAACGAGCGAGCGAGATGGTGAGCCCTGCACGTGCGGAAGGGCGAGAGGGTACTTCCAACGGGCTTGTGCAAAGCACCCTTCTAACCGGTCGCTAGCGGTGTACCAAATTTGAACGCAATCGGCCTAGCCGTTCCTGAGATCTGGAAGCGGCATTCTGCACGTGCGCACGTGCAAACGGGGTCCAAACTGACTTTTGCACGGCACCCTACCAACTGGTCCCCAACCGTGTACCAAATTTGAGCGCAATCGGCCCAGCCGTTCTCGAGATCTGGAAACGCCCCCCTGCACGTGCGCACGTGCAGTAGCACCCTAACCGCAACATATGGGAATGCATTGCCTGGTGGGTGCCTACCTGTATGCCAAGTTTCAGCGAAATCGCCCCAGTAATTACCGAGTTACTGAAATGGGAACAAATTTGGCACCTCTTCTTTTTGTATTTTGCACGTGCAGTGGGGGTCACTCACATAGATCAAGAGTATCCGACCTTTGGTAGAAGGGATGCAGCTACCCTATAAAAATTACCGCAAGACAATCGCTCAAGCCGCTGTTGAGACATGGGCCTCTCAAAATCACTACTTTTGCAAAACTGCTTGAACACCCTTGACTTTTCACGTGGCACGTGCCATGACGGTCACTGAGATGTATCAAAAGTAGTCAATTACGGGGTAGAAGGGATGGGGCTACCCAGCAAAAAAGACCGCAGGCCAATCGGTCCAGCGGTTGCTGAGATATAAGCCTCTCAAAAGCGTTACAGGCCGGGCCGCTCATACTGAGATTTTTCCGTTATATTGAAAAGACTTCGCTTCGCTCGCTGCGCTCGCTCGCTCGTAATTATTTATCAATCCGATTCCAAACCACTGTCACGCCAAACTGAGTGCACTGGACGTCATAATAACATTCCCGGCCACACAGCCACCCCGCCGCGGTCGGCAGTGGCCGTCAGTACGGACGGGGGCGGCCGCGGTCGGACTCACGCTGCGGCCTGGCGTCGGCCGGCGGCTGGTCGGCCGGCTGCACGGTGGCCGGCTGCACGTCCGTCACCGTCGGCATGCCGTGGTGCAGGATGCCCGGCGGCAGCTTGTGGCCCTCCAGCGCCGTCAGACTGTGCTCCTCCTCCTCCGCTTGGGAGTCATCGTACGTCAACACTGCACCGTTAATAAGCACGCAGCGGCACGCATCGCACACGGGCCGGCCAGTACTGACAGTCAAAGGACTTGATTTTTACGCAGCAGCAATATCTATTAAATAATTGCTAATTAGCATTCAATATATTACAATTAACTGATAACGAATTGATTCATTGCTCGGGAATTGATCATAAGAATACTTATGCTAGTCATATTACAATTCGCAAAACAAAACTTCAAAAGGCTTTTACGTTGCAATAAAATTATTAATTAACGTTTGCAAAACACAGCAGCTCTAACAAAACCATGGCCAGTTGCAAACAACAGCTCGTTGGCGGTTGAGCCGAGCAGAGCTCAATAACCAACCGATGGTGCAAGCGTGGTCGTGCCGACGGGAAAGACGAGGGTGCGGGGAGACGTGGACGGCCGGAGAGACGGCCAGGGGACGGGGCGGGGGGTGACAGACGAACGGAGACATTGGGAGAGGGTGAGAGGGAGAAGGCAGAGAACCAGAGGACCAGAACGGACGGTAAGCGATAGGGGTGTGATGGGGACAGGAGTCGGTTGACAGCGAGCACACAGGACTGCCAAGCGAGCAGCGGGCCTCCACCGTCCGATCCGGCAGCGCGCCGGCCACCAATCCGTACATGCGAGGTTAGAGCGCGCGGCGCGCGCGACATGCGGCCAGCCCGGCGGAGCGGCCGGCCCGCCGGCGCCGGCGGCCGCGGCGGGCCGGCCGGCGACAGCGCGCGCCGCCTGCCTACCTGAGAACTCGTCGTCCCATTCCAGAGGTGTGCTCCCGAACTCGTCTGGCGCGCAGAGAAAGAGAGAACAACCGGTCAGCCGGCGCGCGCGCGTGCTGCCCGGCCCGGTCCGTGCTGGCTCCATGCAGCCGTCAGCCGCCACACGCCCCACCCAGCCCGCACCCGACCGCTTACGGGAAGCAGTGTACAGCCCGCTCCCAGGTAGTCACTACCGAGACCATTTACAGCCCGGCCAGACATGAAACTCGGCGTTATTGATGCGGTTTATGCCAACACGAAATGCTATGGCAGCGTGGTTATGATTAACATGTTTTGTGATGTGTGGTTATTATGTTATCGACCCGACTCCGTTCTCATAACATTTGGGTTCCCATTAGCTCAGCCCCACAACCCCTCCCAGCCCCCACCGTAACAACCACCTTCACTTTTTGACACAGATGGCTGATCGGCTCACACCCTACAGATGACAAGCCTTCTGTCCTCTACCCCGGACCGTGTCAACCACCCGGACCGCGGCCGGGCCAGCACGCGCGCCCGCGTTCGCGCCGGCGGGACCGGGCCTTCCTCTTCCACCGGCGGACCGCGCCACGTCTTGCAAAGTACGCTGCACAGGACGGGCTGAGCGGCACGTGCCGTCAGGGGGTAGGTAAGGTACCGACACGCACTGGTGAAAGGGAAACGGTCGAGAGACGGCGAGCGGTACCGCTCTGTTGACCGAATTCTGTCGACAACAGAGTGACGAGCCCTGGGCGGGTACTTTGCAAGACGACACCCTGAGACGATGAACAGACGGCGAATACGGCGAGAAGGGCCAAATAGTTTCTAGACCAGAACAAATTGAGGCTCAACGACTCACCAAGATTCAGTAAAGCATTTACTTTATCAATCAAGATCGTATCATCGTATTTTGGTAAATTTGGTTCACAATGATGGAAATGTGAATGTACTGGGCTCGTTATTCTGACCCTCTGTTCACGTCCCAGAAACTATTTAGCCTTTCTTACCTTTTGGGGTTCAAAAGTAGGTACATGTCCACGACCGAACGTTTCGAGCACCAGTACCGCAACCAAAAGCTCAGGCCTACCTTGTACAGAGGCGTTTAGTACAAGACAAGGAGTGAAAAGTAGCTGGCCATCCCAGCTGATGGTAGGTAACCACTGGCCACTATATTAGTGTGCTACAAACAAACTGACAGCCAATTGAAGACACCAGTGTATGGATGACTTCACTCACCGTAATAATCAAACCCTCGGGCTAGAAACAAGGGGAAAGAGAAAATCTATCAGTTTTGCGATCTTTTCAAAGTCAACAAACAGGTATCTGCATTGCAAATCATTGGCAAAGCATTGTTGACAGTGACGAAAGCTGATGCCTGTGCTTGTGCTAAAAAAAGCGAAAACGACCAACCTTTTACAGGAGTCCAATCATCAAAGATAGCTTTAAGAGAGAAAACGACAACTTCAAGAGGTGCCCTGCATAAATGACGCGATAAGTTACGTCACGGTACCATAGATGGCATCTGTCTCAACGTGACGCCTTACTGGTGCTCGCACATTTCCCTTTCACCAGCGCCGGGCCGGGCTGAGGCATTGGCGCCGCGCGGCCGGCGCACCCGGCCCGTTACGAGTGCCGACTTTGGCCGGCCGGTTCGGTGCCCGAGCACACAACACACGCACACACAGACACAGACTGAGAGTCATACAGGGCCGAGTTAGATAGCCGAGAGAGAGAGAGAGAGAGACAGAGAGATAGTGCACGCCCGGTGTGCGCCCGTCGCGTTACCCGTCTCGCCCCACCCGGTTAGAGCGCGTCCCGGAGCGCGGCCGGCGGCGGCGCGGCCACTCACAGTGGTGGTGCTCCGGCCCGGAGACGGTCGTCTGCGTCTGCTTGGCGTACGTGACGTTCTCCCGCGGCGGGATACTCGTGGAGTGGACGTTCACCACCGACAGCTCTGGCTTCTTCTTCCTGACAAACAGATGGCAATGATGAGTGATGATAATAGGCTGGTTTTGAGGCTACATACATTCAGTCCCACACACTGCTGAGATGAGAGTGACCAAACAAACATGCTTAAATAAATAAACAAAAACACTAGCAATTGTATTCCTTTTAAAATAAAATCCTACCATGATCACTGATTGACATTCTGGAATGAGAAGCAAAATGTCTAAGACAAGAGGGGTGTTCACGGGCACCGCACACTGCTGCGTGCGGTGTGTGCGGTGCGTCCAGCAGGCGTGGGGGTAGGAGATGGGTAGGCGGTTCTGACGTCACGGCTGCGTGCGGTGGACGGTCCGCTGTGGCCAGTCCCGACCGGCCACAGCGATCGCTGTGTGCGGTGACGGAAGGCTGACGTAGGGACGAAGTGGGCGGAGCTTCGAGGCTGTGTGCGGTCCGACCGCACACAGGGCCCGTGAACAGCCCTCAGGACATGCCTGATCTTTGCTGGACTTGGTGTTTGCAGTAGGCTGGAGTCATTGGCACCACTGTCAGAGAGAGTGAGAGATGATGCCTGACTTGAAAGGCTGCCCAGGACATCTGAAATGAATATTCCAGTCACCCTTCAGCCAAGCCTTTTCTTCACCAAACAGTTATCAGAAATCACCTACTTTTTAGTAGCATTACCAACACAAGATATTGCAGTATTGGTCCATAATGTCTTTACTCTTTGTGCAGAATGTAGGCACTGCTGACAGGATTGCCAGATGCAGCCACATTGTCCATTAATGATTGAAGGTAAATTGACAGGGTTGAATTTCTAACTGCATGAGTAATGAGGCGATCACTACAAACTGGAAAGGGTAAATCACATGTTCTGACACCTGTTGTTGTTGTTGTTTGTCCCCTGTGTTCTGATACCTACCAGAGACAGGCGTCACTCCCACAGCACTGAGCATCTTGTCCAAGTCAGTGTGACTAGCCATGCTGGATGTGGCTGACTTGACAGATCCGAGCAGCTGCACAAACACAAACATGATCCGCTCAGCTCACACTCATAAGAACTTGAGTGTAACACAGTTAGTCACACTATTTAGAATACAGATATAAGGGCAATACATGCTAAAATGGTTACTGTTGTTGAAGCATGTACTCAAGCATTGGCAATGTTATTGATAATTGCAAAAAAAAAACTCAAGCATAGCATTAAAAGACAAAGCAAATACCTCCTTCTTCTCCTTTTCCTTTCTACGTTTCTCCTTTTCTTCTTTCAGAAGTTGAAGCCTGGCCTTCTTCTTCTCTAACTCAGCTTTTCTGTCTGACATACTCATGATTGCACCTGAAATGAGAATCACTGACATATTCAGTCAATCAGCATTATCAATGTCATCAACAGTTTTCAATCACGATATCATCTTCTATGAGTTTAGTTTATTAGTTGGCATTAGTTTATTAGTTTATTAGTTAAGTAGTTTATCAGTAGTTGAGATTATAAGTTGGCAAAGCAAATTATTCAAATAGATTGAAATTTGATTTGAAATGAAGCAAATTGAATTCATAAAGCTGATGATCATTGATCACTAGGAATAGTAAGTATCTACCTACCTTCCTACTTACCATTATGTAGGTTTATAAAACCTTGCTTATGTAGGTATAGTCTGTTTTGTTAAAGCCTGTCTGATCGCTTTCAATGCACAAATAACTTTAGTAAGTCAAGTCAAGCTATTGCAATGAATACAGTCGAAAGAAAAATAAAGATTTAAATGAAATTTTGAGCTGGCCAGTGGCTAAGACATGGAAGTTTCATGTGAGCATTTCCTTAGAGCGCTTTAAACGATTAGACAGGCTAAAAAATAGGAATATAAGTACTTAATACCAACCCCACCCATCACATTAGTCATCCCAGATTTGCTGCCCACCCACGTTTGCATGGCAGCCCGATCCCTTCTTTCTTACCTCGTTACTATGAAATCTGTACACCTTTTAATAATCTCTAACACAACGCTGAATAAATAAAACACTTCAAGATCACGACCACGCCCAACTCGAGCATTCAATTCACAAAACGAACGTCCCTGCACGAACGTCTTCTGAAAGTCAGCCATCGATTGTTGACAAAATGGCAGCACAACAGCTGATGTTTTTTGGGTGAGACTAAATGCTTACTTCGAAATCTAAGCTGCGTTGCGGCATTGGCGGTTATTTGCGGGCATATTTACGTCTGGACAACGAGTTGCGGGGAAAAGTGCTGATTTTGCCGCAGTTTTAGGAGCCGGTTATGAGGCTGGATTTTTTGGTTACTTTTTCGTTCTGATTCCTGTATTTCATGGTGTTTGGCTTTTGAATATTTAAGTTCTTTCAGAGAAATATTAATTGCCTTACAGATTTTGTGAAAATGTTTCAGTTTTTATGAGCCGACCGCTAGAGTCCTAAAACAATACATCAGCACTACAATTATTGTAAACAAACAAATGGAGCACCACTTGGACGCCGGTGAAAACAGGGCGCCGGAGGGCATATTAGTCACGTGACATTTGGAACTTCTCCTGCTCCATGGGCCTTCTATATCCCAAACGTCACGTGTAAATTTAACGAACCTTGATCAAATCGCCCCAGGCGCCCTGTTTTCACCGTCGTCCCACCACTTGGCTCCGTTCTGCTCCGTTCCAAGGCCTTTTTTAAGCTTATCTGATGGTTTTCGAACTCTTGTATGTCGTTTTGTTGTAAGTTTTGAATCTCTTGTGACTAAATTATATCATATTAAAGGGACCCTCCCACCTTAACATTAGTTTTGAGTTGAGATAGCCAAGTTTGCGGCCAGGCTCAGAAACCACCATTTATCCTGGTCGCAACCCCCGCAGCTTTATGGTGTTCAAGAAATTTCTTCCCTTTACTTGCAGGGTGGGACCAGCGTGGTCCCTATCTCTTAACCATTACGGGAATCTGATGACGTCATCAGGCTTTCGAACGTCCGTTAAATGTTTGACTAAAACGTTTTGTAGCACGCGGTGGTATATGCTGCGTTGCGCGCAACAAATGCCGCACTTTTAAATAAAGTCGCTAGGAACAGCGGAGATCCCAAAAAGTAAACAAAAGTAAAAGTCTAATATCTTGAAAACCGGTGAATATTTTTCGGTGAAATTTGGTAGATATTCGTTTTCGCTCTTTCTGAACCGAGCGACATCACTTTCATGCCAATTCATAAACTTTTTTGAAGGTGGGAGGGTCCCTTTAAAGAAGCATGTTGACTGAAAACAATCCCAAGTTGAAGTATACAGGAGGCTAAGAGTCCTGAGTTGTGAGTCTTGAGTAATATCAGGTTGAAGTTAGGAAATGTTGGTTGATAAACGCAAGTTGATCTGGCTCACTCATCAGCAAGAAAAAGTAAAATTAAAAGAGCTTATTGGCCGAAAACAAGCCATACTATTGCAGGAGGTCAATACTGAAGAGCACGCGCAGTATCAAGCCAGAAAATGTTGGCTGATGAACGCGTATTGATGTATTGGTATGAATATTGAAATATTACTTACAGCAGCAAGATCAATGAGTGCTAACAGTCAAGTGAAAAAATATAGAAGGAACAAACCTGGGCAGCTTTACTTTGCTATGCAGATGGTAATGTGCATTACTCAGTGTCTGGCAAATGAAACATGCGATCATTCTATTGCTACTGGAAGAGAAAGCTTGGATCACTAAATCAGCTTTATAATGTTTAATTTGATGTTCATCATTACTTTGCATTTCTTGAAAAAAGGATTTAAGTAAAATTGTCAATGTGACAATCCATGCAACGATGTGATCATATCATGTGTACCGTGATGGTGATTATTGGTCTAATATACAAAAGCAAAGCTGTCAGCATTTATTTCTGTGGATGGCCAGAAGGGACTCAGAACTTGAGAAGTATTAGTTTTCTTCACAGGGCTGGGATAAAAAGTACTGCCAGGGTAATCTTCCAGAAAGGAACTTTATTTTGACTTTGTATGAGATGTAGGCACAAGTAGGTAGGTGCTCAGTACCTATAGTTTAGTAGTTATGTAGGTTTAGTTGCGTTAGCTAATATTAGGTCATGTTAGTTTTTTTTTCATTTGCCAAGTGTCCATAAAAATGTGACCTGATCAATTCATACCTGACTAACCTGACCTAACCTCAATCATCACACTTGTTTGCAACTTACCCAAGACCTGCATAGCATTAGCACCCAATAGGTACTAGGTACTCACCCTAACTCAATCTTACCTGCTAACCTTCAACTTGATAACAGTTCGCTCACCTTGCCAAACCACATCCAGGGAAACAGCCAAATGAACTGGCTCATTGGGTGGCTGTTGTGAGTCTGTGCATTTTAAGTGTTTCTTCTCTGAAGCTGCTCTGCACTGCTGTATGACATGTTAGATGCTCAGAAAAATGTGGGAAATGATAACTAAGCTAGTTTAGTGCTTTGTTCATGCTTGAGACATCAACAAGTGCAAATCCTGCGGGGGTACAGCTATGAGCTAGGTGAGTATGTTATTTGAATATGCTGTTTGACTGTAGTAAATATACAAACAATCACAGGGTCACAGTTATATTCAATCTCCGCATAAACATACAACAAAACACCCATAGCCTCACTCCGAGCACATAACAAATAACTTAAGCCTTTGCAAGCACAATAATGTTTTGATTTACAGGATAGGTATACAATATATCCTCTGTCCTTGGGGATCTTGCTGCAAAGTTTGAGTTGAAGTAAGATGACTGAACTTCAGGTATGATTAACTTTTGCTTCTTAGCCACTGCTTATGTACGAGAAAGACTAAATGCTTGGTTGATCAACGCCATGAAACTTAAATGATCCATCTTCAATTCGACATGAAGGCACAAAGAAAATAGTTCCCACTTCTCTCTCCTCTTGGAATACACAAAGCAAAATATTTAATAACTTCTTCTTCTTAGTGGAGGGACATGGACAAGAGCAATTATCATAGCTCAAGCTTCCCTTCAAGTTAACCTCTGGCAGTTGGCACTGATCACACCGATACTCACACGGACACCTTTGATCCAAGAAAAAATTGAAATGTGTAAATCTGTCTAGTCTATCATGGAAGGAACGGATGAACTTGAGGTCAATATGATATTTTGCGATATAAATCACCTTCACCTTGGAACTTTTTTGCAGGTTCGCTTCATATTTTGTAACAAACGCGCAAAAACTGCAATAAAACAGCACTATATGCTTCTGGACAAAATACAATGAAAGTAAAAACTTAGCTCTGATGGTATTCATTCTCGGCCAAAATCTAATTACAAAATAGTTTATAGTAAGAACTTAATTTTGGCTAAAAACAACGCACGTTTTAAAAAAGAATCATTCCAATGACGGTCCATTATTGCGGTCCTGAAATCGCCACTATTTCCGGCCTCTCCAACGCAACTCGTTGTCCAGACGTAAATATGCTATTTGCGGCGTGTATGCCGCATGATTAGTAAGTGGCGACCACTAAATTAAAGTTTAAAACGCTCCGACCGGTTTTCTATGAATAACACTGCATACCAAAATGCCAATCGCTCTCGTCATAAGATATTAAGATTTAAATAAGTAAGTTATCTATATCATCATTTTGAACCAAATTAATACTTTCAACTTAACTCACTCATTCCTTCTTTTGTTGGCTCAAAACAGTCTTTCGATTGTCTGGAAATCGTATGCTAAATCCCGTACCTGTATGCGACTGGTGCATATAAAGGCAAGGTCGATGTAAGAATTTGAATAGGCTCTCGCATGCGATTTCCTGGCTACCCAAAAAAGTCTGTTTCAGTCATGCTATCAAAACATGGCATGTCAGCCCTGTCACCGGCTTATGGTGCTCTGCTAATCTGCTTGTAGTGCCCCTGACCGTCACCGACTCTCTTCCCTCCTGAACCCTCGCCCGTATTGGTGTTTTTCCAGCCGCGAACGTATAAGGGGGGGGGTCCGTTGGACCCCTCCTTGCCGTTTGGCCCCTGATCGAGCTAGAGCTTCGCAGAAAAAACGAGCGTGTTGCCCGTGACGAAAGGATGCCGATGATACCCAATTTTAACCCTCACCGGGACAGGCCATTTTGCGTCCTTCGACGGCACAAGGGGGGGGGGGGGTACGACCCCCCCTCGCGTTTGGCCCCTGATCGAGCTAGAGCTTCGCGGAAAAAAAACGAGCGTGTTGCCCGTCACGAGAGGAAGCCGATGATATCCAATTTTAAGGTCCGAGGTCATCGGGTGACCTTCCAGGTCAGGTCAATGACCCGAAAATCGGGAAAATCGGGACCTGTTAGAAAGTCGTAAAGTGTGGCTGCCATGGGGTTTTCCGGGGTGCTGATCACGAATATCGTGTTAGTTTCGATCAGAAATGATGTCTTTAAGCATTTACACCAGGTCGGGGCAGGTCAGGTCAGGTCAACCGGTAGGGGTCGTGACGACTGACGGGTATTCGTAATACGTGTCAACCGATTCTGCAGTTTCGTAACATGTTACGAATGCACCAAAACTACTTCGTAAATGTTCAAATGGTTGCTAAATTCGAAATCAGCTCTAAAAACTAGCCTAGAAACATGTAAAACTCGAAAAAATGAACCGAGGTCACCAAAGGTCAATGACCTGACCTGACCTTCAGGTGACCTTGACATCCACCCTAATGCATGGGAGCAACATCAAATCACATGTTTGAACGTTTGAAACCACGAAAAGCTTGCAAACGCGCGGCTAATGCGAGCCGACATACGCCGAATCGCGATTCCGGCCAAACATGGTCTCCGAAAGTAGGTCACAGGTCAAAGGTCATTTGGGTCAGGGTCATGAAACTTTAGGGTGGGTGTAAAATTGATCAATGCGAGGGTACTGAAAGAGTCGTCGCGATCGGCCGCTTTTTACGCGAGTTATTCGCGAAAAATAACCCTCGCCCCTGTGTCGGCGAGGGTTAAGTTGGAAGTATTAATTTGGTTCAGAATGATGATGTAGATAACCTATTTATTTAGATCTAAATATCTTATGACGAGAGCGGTTAGCATTTTTGATATGCAGCGTTATTCATTGAAAACCGGTCGGAGCGTTTGAGCCTTTAATTTAGTGGTCGCCGCTTACTAATCATGCGGCATACACGCCGCACATAACCGCCAATGCCGCAACGTAGCTTAGATTTCGAAGTAAGCATTTAGTCTCACCCATGTTTTTTTAGAGCTACCAAATCAGGGAAAGGAATTTCTTCAAGCAGTGCAGTTATTTTCTCACTTTTGCGGCAGCTAACTACAGGGTGCGGCAAAAGTTTTGATACCTTACCATTCATTCCCTCCCTCCCGTAAAATTAAAACAACAGTTTCATTTCAGCGGTCAATGTATTCCCCACGAAGCTGGACACAGAGTGAGAGACGTGCGGGCATGCTGGCCACCAGGTTCTTCAGAGTCTGTGGGCTGATGTTCGCCCACGTCCTCTTGAGCGCCTTTTCGAGCTGTCCAAGGTTGCTGGGAGGTTTTTTCTTGTCCAGCTCCTGCTGCATTATCCCCCAGAGCTCTTCAATTGGATTCAGGTCAGGGCTGTTCCCTGGCCACGTGTCCTTAGCCCAGAAGTTGGGGAGGTGCTCCCGGCACCACTTCTGCGCTCTGGCAGACCGATGAGCTGGAGCGCCATCCTGCATGAAAATGCTGTCCGACCTGCGCTCGACCATGCGGCGCGTGAGGATGGAGCCCGTCGTGGCCGTCCTGTTGATGGCAGGGAGGCAGACTTCCTCGAGGATGTGCTACACGTAGTACTCGGCATTGACCGACGTCTTCTGCGGGATCACGTGCAGCTGGCTCAGTCCCTCGTAGGACATCATGCCCCACACCATCAGTTTCGGCGGGAATTTGACGCTGAACGCCTTCGGGACTTCAGCCGGGTTCTCAGCCCACACTCGCTCGTTCTGGCGGTTTGGGTGGTGGAAGAGTTGAAAGGGAGACTCGTCGCTGAAGAGTACCCGTTTCCACTCTTCCACAGTCCAGTTCTTGCGTTCCTTGCAAAACTGAAGCCTCTGTGCTCGCTGTTTTTCCGTTAATTTTGGCCTTACGCGGATCTTGTAGGCCTTCAGTCCAAGGGTGTTCCTCCAGTACCGGCGGACAGTCCTCTCGGACACCGGATATTTCTTCCGAGTGAGCTGTTTGGACAGCTTCCTCGCCCAGTGGCCAGATTTTCCAGCCGCTTTCTTCATCACGATCTTGGCGACGGTCGAGATGCTGGAAGGGCGCCCTGACTGCGGTCTATCTGCGACGCTCCCTGCCTCCTTAAACTTCTTCCACCAGTGTTTGATGGTGAGGACTGGGACCCCAAAGTGTGAGGCAACGTCCCTCTGCGTCTTGCCGGCTTGGAGCATGCCAATGGCGCGGCTGCGAGCCTCCAAACTGTATTGTTTGACCTTCATGGTTCGGCCGTGGCTACTGCAGCGGCCACCGGGTGGATAATGACCCCGGCCGGCGACCCTCTGGGTCGAGGTCAGCTGTTCAGCTAATCCCCGCCTCGGGGAAGGATGCGGGTACGCAAGGGCGCGCTCAGAAATGTCATATTCGGGGGCATGTTGGAAATACATTGAGTTATTACAAAAAGACGGAAGGTATCAATACTTTTGCCGCACCCTATAGAACGCAAGTCCTTCTCCCTTCTCCCGTAGTCTTTTGGATAACCGGACTGTAAAAGCATTATTGTCTTATCTATAGAGCTCTTGTACCTAATCGAAGTCCTTTTCGCCGCCTGTCGGTCACGTGATGCTATATCCTAGATAAAGCTAGTACTTTAGCCTTGCCTTAGCCTACAGATCGCCAGTGACCCGCGACATGACACAGTTCCGAAGAATTGTGAAATAGGTATGACACTTTTGAACAACCCCGTGGATGGATAAATTTTAACGGTCCCCGGCCGCCGGCTCATTAGATGAATGTGTCAAACGCGAATATGGACATTGGACATTCATTTATAGGGTCTTGGGGGGGGGGGGGGGGGGGCGAGCTCCATGCGTCCACAGAGCACCAAAACCTGCATGGACGTTCCCTTTCAGACTATACACCAGACATTTCCCAGCTCCCTCGAACTTATGAGCACGTCACTTGCGAATTGATGTTACAGGCAATGTTCCGCCATTTGGAGGTATGATGCCATTTGTCACAGGAAATGACGCCTCTGGGAACAACGTCTAAATCCGCACCTTCCGACACGAACGTCGTTTAGTCAAAACAGCGTCAAAACAGATGGAAACGGTGACATCACAATATTTATTACCAGTACAAAACACGATCCAGCACTCCCCAGTCTGCATGGCTCGTGAGCGCGACCACTCTCCTTACTAAACTAAGCATTGAAACAAGAGCACGAATCGCCACTAGAGTAGTTGGACATTGGACAATGGACACACACTTGGTCCTGTGGTGATGTGCACTGCACCAGACCAGCCACCTTGTGCTCCGTTTAAGACGTGCGGGAAAGCCACTGGTGACGTCATCTCGAAGTCCCAGCACCACTTGTCTCCTAACACCACAGCCTCCTCCGTACAGATGAAGCGGATACGGTAGGAAAACACATTTTACCACACACTGCCAGAAGTGATAAAGCACGGCGCTTACTGATCAACATCTGCCATTCAGAGCCGATAGAATAAGCAACATCACCCAAGAGCAAAGGCACTTGTATTTATACGACTTTCAGCTCTGTGCGCCGACCCTGCGCCGTCCATCAGTTACGCGGCGCGGACAGTTTGAACTTTGGATCCATACACATAAGTTGGCCCCATCCAATGAACAGTTCACAAACTGCATTGCCGCGTCAAGGAGCGGCGACGCAGCAGCCGGCGGTGGTCATCTGTGCCACCTGCCGAGCGCCGCCACAGACAGCAGTGCGCGGCTCGCCTCCCGGTGCAGTCATTCCAGCACAGACTCCAGCTTCTCGCCGTTCTGCGCGGGGCTCTGAGCGCCGCCGTCCTCGATGGCCAGCTGCTCGTGCACGTACACCTTCTCGCCGGTCTTGAAGTGCTCCACCGTGTCTCCGGAGCCGTGCAGCACCCACTTGGTGGTGAGCAGACCCTCCACGCCGACGGGCCCGCGCGCGTGGATCCGGCCCGTGCTGATGCCCACCTCGGCGCCCAGCCCGAACCGGTAGCCGTCAGCGAACCTGGTGCTGGCGTTGTGGAAGACGCAGGCGCTGTCGACGGCGTTCAGGAACTTCTCGGCGGAGGCGGCGTCCTCTGTGACGATCGAGTCCGTGTGCGCCGAGCCGAACTCGTGGATGTGCTCGATGGCAGCGTCCACGTCGTCGACGATCTCGATGCAGCAGGCGAGGTCGCCGTACTCTGTCCGCATAGAGGGCGCTGGCGGCGGCCCGAAGGTGAGCTGCTTGTGCAGACGCGGACCGGCGTACAGCCGCACGCCGTTGTCCTTCAGCAGCTGGCAGACGTTGTTGAAGAGGTTGGGCACCTCCATCAGGTCCTTGTGCAGCAGCAGGGTCTCCATGGCGTTGCAGGCGGCCGGGTAGTCGCACTTGCTGTCCTTAACTGAAATGACGGGAGACGGGCTGGTTAGAAAGATAACGAAAAATGCGAGATAAATTATTTCTTACAGTATGCAGAACACCGATAATTGCGAGGCAAGTTATTACTAACAGTATGCAGAAGACCTGAGACCATTAATCGTTATAAACTGTTCTGCTTCCGTTGACGTTATACAAACGTAATAGGCAAAGTGAATAGCAATAATGAAGCAAATTACACATAAGACGGAAAAAAATTAACGGTCTCGACGTCTCGATCAAATTATATAAGCGTTCTTACCGATTTCCAGGGCCTTGTTCATGTCGGCGTTCTTGTCAATGTAGACGTGGCAGACGCCCTCACTGTGTCCCAGCACGGGGATGTGCCTGCTCTGGTCCTGGATGTGGCGCACCAGCTCGCCGCTGCCGCGCGGGATCACCAGGTCGACGCAGTCGTCCAGCTGCAGCAGGTCCGAGATCTCCTCGCGCCCGCTCACCTGCCGCAGGTGGAGCGAAAGGCGTCAGCAGCGCGCCTCTGGCGCCCAAACAGAACATGAGGCAAAATCGAGATGACCCTGAATACAGTCAAAATAACGGACAGCGTAACGCCAGCCATGGATCGACACGGGTATCGGCGAAAATCGGGGAGCCCATTAGACGGATATCACATTTCAGCGGCAGTAGATGCCGGGTACACGCACCAGGCCGACGGCGCTAGTGGCTCCGACGGTCGAGAGCGCCTCCTTGACCAGCGACATCAGGTACTCGTTGCTGTGCTTGGCCTCGCGTCCGCCCTTCAGCAGCAGCCCGTTGCCGGTGCTGATGGCCAGGGACGCCACCTGGCGGCGGGAAACTGTCAGCTAATGCATCGGATGGTGGGACACGGGAGTGGGAGCCGGCAATCACACGGCAAATACAGCATCAACTAGTTTAGTAGTTATTTTATCGATATTTAAAATTGGTTCATGAAGACGGCGAATACCAGCAGGACCGGGCTGCAAATCACTCAGTTTCCCACAGTGCCGACACGGCTGAGGTGCGCACCTGGGGCAGGCAGTCGGGCCGCGACTCGAAGATGACTAGCAGCACGCCGAGCGGCACGGTGACCTGGCGCAGCTCCATGCCAGAGGCCAGCTGCGTGCGGCGCAGCACGCGGCCCAGCTGGCGGCGCCCGTCGGCGGCGATCTGGCGCAGCCCCGTGGCCAGGTCGGCCAGCTTGGCCGGCGTCAGCTTCAGACGCGCCTGCATCGCCTCGCTGAGGTTCTCGGCCTTGGCCTTCTTCAGGTCCACCTCGTTGGCGGCGATGATGTCTGCGCAGCGCGACTCGAGCAGCGAGGCGAGCGTGTTGATGACGTTGGCCCGCTCCTGCCAGCTGAGGGACTGCAGCACCCGGCTACCGCGGCGGGCTGCAGCACAGATGACGGAGATTAGCTCAGTTACACATGTATCGGCGCTACGGGTCAAGCAGCATTGCCGACATCAAACGAGAACATCAGACTTGACCAGACTGACCACAACACTGCATCAATGAGTGCCATCTACGATACGATGTGGTAATCTGGCGCCCATTCATTTGCTGTGAAAATAGAACACGAGCTTAAAAGGTACCTAATCGAACCAAAAAAGGATTTGCATCGTCCGTTGCTATCACCATTCACCGGGCAGGCACACCACATGCAGCGAATTCACTCACCTCCCTTGGCGAGTACCTCCACGGCCATGCCGCCGGGGTTCGTCTTGGCGATGAAGGTGCCGACCCTCCTGCCGGCCACGATGTCCTTGATGGCGTTGTCCTTGAGGCCGTTGCAGATGACCACCGAGACGCCGTGGTCCAGCGCCCAGACGGCCGCCTTCGACTTCGAGTCCATGCCGCCGGTGCCGACGCGCGACTTGCCGCCGAACTGGATCTCGTCGTGCGAGCTGGGCACGAATGTGTCGATGAGCCGGGCGCCGTCCTGGTCGGGCGGCCGGTTGTACAGGCCGTCCACGTCCGTCATCAGGATCAGCAGGTCGGCGTGCAGCTGGGCGGCCAGCCGCGCCGCCAGGCTGTCGTTGTCCTTGATGCTGATCACCTGAGGTAAAGCGCCGACACATATTAGGCGGCTGAGTGCGCATCGGCTCGGTCGAGAAGCTTTGGGTGACTTAAAGTCTTATAAAACGACGTAATAAGGCGTAAAACGATATAGCCGAACACGGCAAATCTTGGCAGCCTTACATAAGGAAAGGCAAATTATATAACTACCCTCCTAGCATTAAAGGTCGTATTAGAGCACCTAGCGTGCCCCCATGAAGCTAGCGTTATAATAGGCAAAATGGGTAAGGTAACAATGGGCATTAGTATCGATAAGACTACTCGTATGATCACCGATGAAGTGCCGCGAAGACATTTTCAACGTAACGTCGCCCAGTTTCGGTCCGACCTAAGATACGCGCAATCCGACTGAACTAAGGATCATAAATGGGCTATAGCACCCGTCTCCTAGACGATCGAGTAACGGGTGTGAGACGTTGCTGAAGAGTCGGCACTTACTGGTCGGGTCGGTGGCTTGACCGGCTTTCCGAGGCCCTGTAAGAGCAGAGCGGTCGAGGGTGAGTGCAGGGTCATGCTGGAGCCATGGAACTGGGATGCTGTGCGCGACATACCTATAATGTGCCGCCGTGTGCGACATGTCACATGCAGACATGCTGGCAGGTGCACCCACCAAACGGCCAGTGATGATCGCCGTTGAGCAAACAGAAGCAAAACGAACGCCATAAGGCCATGGCATGGCAATGAGAGCCTCGTGTGGCAAAAAAGTGCATATGCGAGTGCAATAAAACACCGTTCCTCACTCGAAAGCAAAGTAGGTAACGCTCAGGCGGATCCAGTATATGTCTTCGGTCTACATATGACGGATGAACGCAAAAATATGGCACGCGTTCCTTTGTGCGCTGCGATAGGAGCAGCGAGAAGGGTCAAATGATGCATCGTTCATCCCTGGATGTTGGATCGCGAGAGATATATAAGCAGGGCAAATACTCCCTATGTAGGTATCTAAAAGTATGTGCGCAGAGGCGAAATATTGGTGCATATAGGGCAAACTAGCGCTGCGTTCGGTAGCGAATAACGGGGCATGCCATCCGGGGTATCTCTGGTGCTCTCAGAGGGGCAAACCGCGCGTGCTCGTCACGGGAGGTCCACTCACGCCGGCCAGGTCCTCGTCGATCTGCGGCGGGGGCGACACGGCGTCGTTTGTGTTGATGATGGGCACGATGTTGAGGGAGATCAGCTCCTGCATAGTCTCGAACAGGTTCTGTTTGATTTCGTCAGAGTAGAAGTCGGCGGTGGTGATGAGAATCTGAAACAGAAATCATTTACATAAAGTCGACAAACTCATTCCTCATCTTGTCTTCGTATAGCACCAGCAATAAGCGTAGGCGACCGATAACAGTTCACCGGCCGCAACAAAGCTGTTTGAGCCAAGACGGTGACATTTGGGTCGCAGCGAACATCCCTCGGTGTGCACACAGGTGACAGATGACGTGCAACGCGCGTCGCCTGGCACGTGTCCGGACCCGTGCGTAACCGCTCACACCCGGATACGGGCAGCTCGTGCATTTCCATATACGACTCGCCATCCAGCTCCCGCGCCGGATAAGGCCGGATTCTGCGTGGGCCAAACCCAAGCCGGTTTTTGCTCCGTACTCGGCGAGCCCACACCGGTTTGTTTTTCGCGGCGCCCGACCGCCAGGTATGGCAGTCTGGCGCCGGCCGGACTCAGAGGACGACGCCGCCGGCGGGTGGCAACGTCTTGTGGCGCGCCGCGCATGGCAACAGCACGGAGGGCGATAAGGCGGCGCCACGAGGTCGCCTCGTGCGCCGGCCGGGCCGTGACTGGGCACGATGGCGTCACACGGATGCCCCCCCCCCCCACCTGAAGCCACCTGCTTGCCTTATGCAACCAATGTCACGGCCGATCTCACCCACTGCCGACAAATATTTCAGCGCCGTCTTATCGATCAAAGTCCGCGGCGATACCTCGCCCCCCGCGGACGGGACAGGCAGGTAAGCTTTCACGCGTGATTTGGCTTTTTCCACACCGCGACCGATAAGTGGACTTTGTTCCATATAAATAGTTCACATGTAGAGACTTGGAAGGAGACCTGAGAGCTACATTCGAAATTTCACCCAGACGACTGTGGACTGCGAGACGCAACAAGTGGCTCCATGCACACTACTTTGACTGGCCAACTCGCATCAGCCAGCCTGAAAAAATGTGGGGTACCTATCGCTCGTTCAACGCTCGATAGTTTTTGGCAACCCGAAACCATTAAGCATACGTATTACATAGCACCTACCCGGTATGTCCTAAACATATGCCTAAATAAACACGTCGTAACCCCATTCTCACGTTTCTCGGGCCCCTACAGTTGTGACCACAGAAATGTTCCCTTTCTACCGCCCCCTCGCCGGCCCCCTCTCATGGCGGTCCCGTTACGACACGGGAGCGGCGCCGCTGACAGAGAGGCGAGAACTGTTTCACCTCAACATTCACAGAGCTGCCACCAAACCATGGCGCAAGCCGTGAGACATGGGCTACTGAGCGAGGGCTTGATCCTTCTGGTCCGACGAATACAGTACGCATAAAATGCGATACGTTTATCGTCCAAACCGGTGAAATAAACTAAGCAATGGGCAAACATACGTTCGTCTGCACGTGTGCCAGTGTCAAACAGTTGTTTTGGATAGGTAGCAAAACGTTCACAATTCATGTAAAAAACGCGATATTTTAGCCGATTTCTTGTTTAGCGTCCCTGTCGAACAAACACAAGACCGATATACCGGGATAACCGCTTCTTCCCCGTTCTCCCCCGTTCTCAGTGGAAGTCCAGTGCCTTGCCGCCTTACCTGGGCTATTCTGACGCCGTACTGGGCGAACATGGCGTCATAGAGCGACATCAGGCCCGACTGGCCGACGGCGGCTGCCGCTCGGGGCTCCAGAGTGTAGACGCCGCTCTTCTGCAACAGCGGCCACCAGCCGGTCAGACGCCCGCCCGGCTACCCGGACCAGCAGTTCCGGAATGTTTAAAAACAACGCACACAAATTAACAACACTAAGCAATTTAAATCACGTATTAAAAGTTAAATTTTTATCGCAACATGCGATACACTTAGCTTACGATGCCGAATGCCGAAGGAAATAGTGAAGTTATTGGTTGAATCGCAGACACCAACGGTCAGCTGTTTTTACCTTGGCCCGGATGCCGTTGTTCTTGGACAGGGTCTCCCTCATGCTGAGCGACATCACCAGCTCCTCGGTGAGTTTCTGCTTGCCGAAGGCCACCGAGCCGGAGGTCACCATCAGACACTCGCGGCCCTGGTTCTGCAGTTCAGCCACCTGGGGAGCGGCCGGACGAACGCCGTCAGCGGGTCAGGTCAAAGGGCTCGGCCACTGGGCCTTAAAGGGACTATCCCACCTTTAACATGGGGTTTGAGTTGAGATAGCCAAGTTTGCGGCGAGGTTCAGAAACCACTATCTATCTAGGTTGCAGCCCCCGCGGCCTCTTGGTGTTGAAGAAATTCGTTCCCTTCATTTGAAAATGGGCCTTGCGCAAGGCCCTATCTTCAACATGGAGCGACCGTTAGTGTGACGTCACCTCGTTTAGTCATTCTGATTTAAATGGGTTTGTTCGTTGAAAAATCGCTTAAAACTTGGTCTGAACTTTGTTGTGGTGCCTACAGAGTAAAAAGAATCAGCTTTATGACAGTAATGTGGCCTGGGGAAGGAGGTAATTTTGGGCTGTGACGTCACATATTTGAAAGTTTGTGTTTGGAATATGGGAAGCCTAAGATGTTTAATGAAAAATAAATGCCAGAACCGTGTTCCTGGTCATCCAATCTATAAAGTCGGGCACAATTTAACTGGTTTTAACAACATTTTAGAAGGTGAGATAGGGGTATACAATCCCCGTGTTGGATCAGTTCCGATTGTTAGGCAAGGTCATGCTAACCCAAAGCATCGGTTTTAGTCCCAATCGGACACGGACATCGTTACTACACCGTATCGGATGGCACGCCAGAGTCAAACGCCGATTTAGTAGGCATTAATGAGGGTAATTGGAATCGATCGCCGGCGGCAGCCCGGGCACGAGAGTACACCGGGCACACTTGGTCCCACGCCCCTCCCCCCCCCCCCACACACACACACAGTCGATCATCGCCATTCGACACCCACCTGCTCGACGATGGAGGCCAGGCGGCCGAGCGCGAGGCCACACTCGTCCTCGCGCGTGATGACGGCCGAGCCCATCTTAATGACGATACGGCGCGAGGTCTTGAGCTGACTGCGGTCCTTGAACGGAGACCAGTTGGTCTCGGCCGTCTGCATGGTCCGCCCGTTGACACCATAGCCCTGCGAACAAGTGTGACACGAACATTAGAATAAACATGGGAATACGACGACTGGCCAAAAAGAGCCGAGTCATTACTTATTTGTACTATGTATGTACGAGAGTTATTCAATATTCATTGGTATTCCCTCATACGTAAATCCTGTGCTTATTTAAATATGTAGGGACTATGCACACTAATTAGATATCAATTATCACCTGTAGAGGTTATAGGTAAACATCGAAACGGCTGTTAACTTTGGATTTAGTCTGAAGATCGTTTTGTCGCATGCGACAGAGGAGCGAGCGAATTTTTAGCATTCTGCCGAAATATTGGTGAGCAGCTAACACCCGCATTCCGCATCCTGCGCTTCTGCTTCCGGGGTACACCCGGAAATTCTCCGGTAGCCGGCCGGATGTGCCACTCTCGTATATCCGGCCCATGGGCGACAGGCTACGGCCTGTCCCCACGAGACGGGCCAGTAAAAAGCTAGTCGACGAATTCTGCGGAAGGGACCGCTACAGCTCCCTTCTTCCCGCCCAAGAGGTCGAAAATGCGATAAGCCCGTCCTCCCCGAAGCCTGGTCAGCTGTCGTGACAGTGTTTCACGTGTCACCGACGGCAGCGGGGGGGGGGGGGGGGGGGAGGGAGGCACCGATCTCGCCGCGGGGCGGTCGCCCGACTGCGTCACTACTCCGTGCTAGCCATCAGGTGCCACTGTCTGAGTAGGTAGTGCACACCGCTACACCGCCGCTGCCGAGTTGGAGGACAGAGTTCTCACCATTCCACGTGCTGGGGAACTCTGTCCAGTTGTGCAACACTGCTGAAATCCACGACCGTTCTCTAGCCACGGTTCCCGCCGCTCACGGCTTTCACGTTTACTGGTTACATGGGGCCTGGTGTGGCTTCGTATGTGGTCAGAGACGCTGATTTAGAGTTTAATGCTTATTGCTTTATGCTTATGACTGGAAATGGTATCATCTTAGTCGGTACAATAAATTTAAATAGAAATACCTAAATTGGCGTGATGAATATGTTATAGTTATTGCACTAAATGACAATGAAAATAACAGCTGAACTGAGCTCAAGTAAACGTTTTAAGTTATCAACATTTCTTTATGGTGCGGTCAAAGGAAAGATAAAACGTGTTTGACAACCTTGACAGACATTTCTAAGAATTAATTTTAAGAGGAAAGGAGTGAAACTTGTTAATCGAAGCATTGCCACCATTCGCAAACAGTCGGTGCCTTCGCCATTTCTATCCATTACAATCCGGCCGTGGGCAGAGGTGGAACTTTTTGTTTTTCATTGGGGTTGTAGTTTGCCGGAGCCCAGGGTATACCCCCACCAAAACCCGAAAAGTCCCCGGATTCGGCCCACTATTTTTCGGGAGGGGCCCACATTTTCATTTACAAAAATAAAATAAAAATAAAATAAAAGTGGTCCATCTCCAGGGAGAGACGGCTGACCCTGTCGTCCCTCCATTGGCTATGTGCCTGGTTGTAGGTACTCGGGTATCGCCACCATGGTCGTGGGCGTGGCGATTCGGAAACGGTAGGTAAACGCCCAAAATCACAGTCCCTATGAATACTTGTTTCTTTCCACATTTGACACAAACATTACTCAGTATTGGAGCAAGGCTCTTTCCCTACGAGTAACAATTTAAGCCACTCGTGGCAATTGACAACGAAGACCTAAACAGGAATACGTTATTTTTAGACTAAAAAACTTAAAACGAGTCCATCTTTGTATATTAATGCCACTGTCGTCTGGAATACGTCTATTACGGAAACGGGTGGCAGAAACCGGAATAGTGGCTGATCAGACATGAGATATTTTGCAAACGAGGACAACGTACCGAACACAATGCCGCAAAGGAACCTAACACTGGATCTAAATAATCTCAACCTGAGGAAATTAAATAATAAATGCCACAGCCTTTTCATATCACCGAATACTTCAATTAACTAGAGTCTAGATGATCTTCTTTTTTTCAACGAGCAAATGTAGGTATTAGGTATGCATTGTTTGGCAAATCGTAAACAAAACGCATACTCTTCACAGCCACGATGGCTAGGAACACATAACGGCTTGTTTGTCTGCCCCTGAGACACTGGTCGTACACCGATTTTCAGCTAAATCGAAGGACCCCGCCGTTTACCGTTAAAATGTTAATTGGCCGTTAATTCGTTAACGGTGCAAAATACCACCCCAAAGAGGCACATTTTCGGAATAAGCGCATCGAGGAGGCCCTGTACACCGATTTTCAGCCAAATCGAAAGACACCGTCGTTTCCCGTTAAAATGTTGATTGGCCGTTTACTCGTTAACGGTGCAAAATACCACCCCAAAGAGGTACATTTTCGGAATCAGCGCATCGAGGAGGCCCTGTATACCGATTTTCAGCTAAATCGAAGACCCCGCCGTTTCCCATTAAAATGTTAATTGGTCGTTAACTCGTTAACGGTGCAAAATACCACCCCAAAGAGGTACATTTTCGGAATCAGCTCATCGAGGAGGCCCTGTATACCGATTTTCAGCCAAATCGAAAGACGCCGCCGTTTCCCGTTAAAATGTTAATTGGTCGTTAACTCGTTAACGGTGCAAAATACCACCTCAAAGAAGTACATTTTCGGAATCAGCGCATCAAACAGGCCCTGTATACCAATTTTCAGCTAAATCGAAAGACCCCGCCGTTTCCGGTTAAAATGTTAATTAGCCGTTAACTCGTTAACGGTGCAAAATACCACCCCAAAGAGGTACATTTTCGGAATCAGCGCATCGAGGAGGCCCTGTACACCGACTTTCAGCTAAATCGAAAGACCCCGCCGTTTCCCGTTGAAACGTTAATTAGTCGTTAACTCGTTAACGGTGTAAAATACCACGCCAAAGAGGTACATTTTCGGAATCAGCGCATCGAGGAGGCCCTGTACACCGATTTTTTGCTAAATCGAAAGACCCCGCCGTTTCCCGTTAAAATGTTAAGTAGTCGTTAACTCGTTAACAGTGCAAAATACCACCCCAAAGAGGTGCATTTTCGGAATCAGCGCATCGAGGAGGCCCTGTATATCGATTTTCAGCCAAATCGAAAGACACCGCCGTTTCCCGTTAAAATGTTAATTGGTCGTTAACTCGTTAACGGTGCAAAATACTACCCCAAAGAGGCATATTTTCGGAATCAGCGCATCGAGGAGGCCCTAGATACCGATTTTCAGCCAAATCGAAAGACCCCAAAATATGCTGCTGTGAGGCTGATATTCGTTGCTGCTGAATTGACAGACGTCGCCAAAACCTTGCATTTGTATCAGATGCGTCATGCTGGCTTACATGTGACTTAGGTTTGCATTCTGTTCGCGAACCTGTCAGTAAGATTATCAGCACTAATTATCGCACAGGATTGGTTTTTATGGTCGTCAACGTTGGTTTAAAGTGTCGTCATTTTAGCCAAATGTTCGTGCTGATTGGTGGTATTGTGCCAACTGACAAAATTGCGAACAGAGTGATATTTCACTTTAGAAATGTATTTTGATTGTGCGTTCTGTGGTCGTTGACACGCAATATTATGGTCAGATTATGGTGATGGGATGCTACATAGGGTGAAGGCTTAGGTTAGGTTAGTTTATTTTTGAAGCTTACTGTTTTGTGTCAAACTTTTCATCTATGCTTATCTATTTGATAAGCACAGCCCACAGGTATGAAATATTTAGTGAGAAATCCAAAAAGTACAGTGGCGGATCCAGGGGGGGGGGGGCAAAATGGGCATTTGCCCCTCCCAAACGGCATAATTTTAACATTACGCCTATGGACGAGGCATGGAAAGAATTGATAAATTGTTATGGTTTGCCCCCCCAAAAAAAAACTCTGAGCTGGATCCGCCACTGCAAAAGTATGATGAATGTTATGCTTTTTTTTGCTTCACACTTTCATGTTACATGTTAAGATTTTTTTGGAACACTTTCAATATGATTGACTTAGTATGCTGACGAAGTGTGAAGTGATTAACTTTCATATCATGCTCACTGTCTCAGCAGAATAATATGTTCTTAACAGAGCACTTTCAATGTTTTTAGCATCTGGAATTCAAAAAGATGTCCTAATTTATTGATATCTTCACTTTCTTGATATATCTCAAGTATCTGCTTCTGTATGATACATATTTTGTTCATTTTCATGTGTTTTAGGCTGATTCTTAATTTTCCAATGTTGGGGTTGTAGTTTTGCCATTGGGGTTGTACTTTTGAAAATTGGGGTTGTAGCTACAACCACCACAGTATATAAAGTTCCGCATGTGGCCGTGGGTATCCTTATGATCCGTAACCTCCCATCGTCGACCGGTGCACAGTAGGCGATTTCGCTATCCTAGCACTTCATGAGCTATATCTTAAGTTAGACTCAAAACCAGTCATCCTTAAACCCCTTATTTTGTGCCTATAGTTCGTTTTTTTTTTTTCAAAAGGACGCTGGCTCAAAGTATGTTTTTCGAACAAGCACGTGTTTTAGCGAGCAAAACGAGCAAAAATATATTGATGATCAATGTATATATTGATGATCTGTTGATTAAGTTGCGTTCTCTTCGAACTGGATGTTTTGTTAGCGATTGTGCCGTCAGTGTCATCGCCTATGCGGATGATATAGTGCTTCTATCCCCCACCAGACAAGGGCTTCAGACTCTGGTGGATCAGTGTGAATGTTTTGCTGTGTCCAGAGATATAAGGTTTAATGTGCAAAAAACTGTGTGCATGGTTTTTAACCCTAGGAAGCCTTATAAAGCTAGTCATTTAATGAACTCTAAGGAGCCAAAAGTCGCATTGTGTGGTGAGAATCTGAAATGGGTCAGTCAATTTAAATACCTTGGCCATATCATTTCTAATGACTTATGTGATGTGCCCGATATTCGAAGGGTAAAGCGTTCAATGTACTATATGACCAACATGCTTTATGCAAAGCTCAGGCATGCTAATAAGAGTTTACTTATAAAATTATTTAAGTCTTACTGTACACATATGTATGGATGTGAACTATGG